GGTCCTGACATGAATATATTTACTAAAAATAGCATTTCGAAAAGGGGGGGAGGGGAGTTGTTTGTAAAAAAAAAAAAATATTTATTTTAAAACCAGTGTCCTAATAATTTTCTCATAAACGAAAATGTCACAATTCTGAGATCATGAGGAAACAGTATGATACATTTTTCGAGGGGTCCCAGGGGAATTAAATCCAGTTAATTCTTCACCCTGTTAGTGTTGATTGTTCTTGTTCACATTTAATATTCTTCATGTTTATGTAAGGATTTTGTGGGAAATTCTGGGTTTCATGACCTCTGTTTTCATGTTTGTAAAAGAAAAGAAATCAAATACAAGCATACCTTGTGCGGATGTTGAGAAACAGCCAGCCCTGTTAGTCCAGTTGACTGTTAATCAAAAACGAAATGTTTACAAATTATTTTGTGTATGCAACTGAATAAAAGAAATACAAATCATCAACTTGTTTGGGGACCCCATTTTGGTGGGGGGAGGGGGGAACAGACATACTGCTCCTTAAAAGTTTGTTGAAATCTATGTGTTAGGTTGAAAGGCAATGATAATGCAGCCTAACTAAACCATGATACACTGTTCCAATCACCTTAGAGGAAAACCTAAAAATACAGAGCAGAGGATTAGAGACAGTCATGGATAAATTTGCCGAAGAAATAAAACTGCAAGAGATGGCAAAAGATAGGATGACTTGGCTTGATAAAGGGCCTATGACCAAGAGGGATACAGCATAATTATCAGGTGCCCTGTCGGGCGTCGCAGGTGCTCGAGTCTCTCCATAGATCTTGGTCCCTGGTATTTTGAATGAATTCCACAGAAGATATTCCTCCATGCCAATGCTTCAGGCTTTCAAGCATTGTCTCTATTGGTTTGTTGCTTCTACTGTTGATCTGTCCAGTCATCATGATGTTCTTCAGTGCCACTCTACGCATCACATGGCTGAAAAGGATGTAGAGCAGCAGAACTTTCGAACAGTGTTAATAACAAAGAACTGAGAGAACTGTTTGGTCCTGCATGTGTATGTGCCTGATGATGTACTCCTTGTTTAAGATGGGTGATATATGGTTGATAATTTTATTTGTCCTATTATTGATTTTGACCCTTTTTAAATTCTGTGTTCTGATACTCAAGTACAGTAGACTCTAGACCATGAGGCCTAGTTACCCTCCCTCCCCCCCAAAAAAAAAAATTGTAATAAAAGAATAATTTAATTTGCTTTTCCAAAGCATTGCAAGCGTGTGGCTGCTACAATCCACCTATGTCTCTTGTGCATAACACTAGCTGAGGTGCAAAATGCAGATTCCCAATGCTCGGCTACCTGCTCTTCACTTCAACAGATGTGTATCTGATGTAAATTGTTGTTTGTTGGTGTCAATTTTTAATTTTTTTATTTTAAAATAAATTACAAAACAGGTAATAAACAAATTGCATTGACTTTGGAGGATAAACTACTGTGGCTCTCCTTCGGTCCCTCCCCCCCCATATTATGGCGGCCAAACAAATACCCTAACAGGGCCTAAGTCCTATGCAAAATGCGGAGTCCCTGCTGAGGAACAAATCACGGCAAAACTAGGATTGGCTCTGAATAATGGGCCCAATATTATCGAGGGCAAACTAATGCTCTAACAGGGTCTCAGCGATATGTTAATTGCGGACCTGTTTCTGCGACTGCCGCACTGCCGACAGTATCCCCTGCACCGCTAATTAGGGCCTTAACTAGATGGCTGGGACTCATGAGCAGCAGCTACTGCATCTCCTGCAACTTTCTCAAATTTATTTGCTCGTGAGTCCCTGGCATCTAGTTTAGCCCCCAATCCATGTCGTGCGTAGCAGCGCATGGGATACTGTCCGGGGTGAGTTTAACCGCGTTTTGCACATATGCCGAAAGTGTGAGGACAACAACGACGCTAATCTGCGTTGGAAAGCATGGTCTCCCCGCCATGTCGCTATGATCGTCTGTAATGTTGCAGGTCTTGAAATTATAAATGGTCGCAATTGTTGTCTGTAGAAACGTTCTAAATTGTCAATGGTCGCTATTATCCTTCTGCAGTGTTGCATGTCTTGAAATTGTCAAGTAATCCTGGTTTTTCCGCGATGTGTTCGTCTGAGGAAGTCCGCTTTTTACACACTACTGAAGTCCTGTTATAGTATTTGTTTGGCTGCCATCCTCTGTAATATGCCCAAGTATTTGGGGGGGGGGGGGGGGGAGATCCAACAAGGACAGTGGCCACTACTACTACAGCTGTACTGATTTCATATTAAAGAGTCAGATGTTCCTGTAGATCATATTCATTTTGATACAGGCTTTTGGCCAAAAAGTAATTCGTTTATAGGGGGGGGGGGGGGGGGGATCTTAACTGGAGTATGGAAAATAAATCTAGGTCAGACAAAGTGGTATGCTTCGCCATCTAGTCTACTAGTAGCCATGTGGATCACTATAGATGCAGCCCCGAATCCATCTTTTGTAAGATTACACTCATCATCATCAGGTGCCTTGCCGACTGGCACAGGCGATCATGCCTCTCCATAATCCAAAATCTCCTGCAGCATGTATCAGTTCGTGTGCTGACACACCTCCATGCCATGCAACAAGACTGTCAAGAATCTTCTCTCATTGTCTTTCTCTATCCCTCCTTCCACAGATCTTTCCAGTGGTCACAACATGTTCTATTTTCCCTATTCTCATAACATGGCTGAAAAATGATGACTGTCTCCTTCTGATGTCTGTGATAAGTTGTCTTCGGGCTCCTGCCTCTTTCAAAACCTCTTGGTTGCTCTTTTTGGCTGTCCAAGGTATTCTAAGCATTTTTCTGTAAAACCACATCTCTGAGGCCTCAAGAGATTGTTTGGCCGGCCTACCGACTGTCCAGGATTCACAGCCATATGTTAAAACTGGATTTATGTAGCAAGCAAGAATTCTTATTCTAACTCTCAATGAAAAGGATATATTGCACAAGATATTCTTCATTTTAGAAACTGCAGTTTTTGCCGTCCTATTCTGTTTCTTATCTCAGTTATGCATCTTCCGATCTGATGTTATCCATGTGCCCAGATATTTAAATTTCTGTACTTGTCCTAAAATAACACCATCGAATTTTATTATACATTTAGGAATAATTCGTTTCTTTGATACCGCCATTACTTCTGTCTTCCCATTATTCAAACTGAGGCCCATTCTTCCACCACAATGTCTATCATTTCCTGTAGTTCTTTCTGACTTGTTGCTATCAAGACTGTATCATCAGCATAACGTAAATTGTTTATATTGTGCCCACCAACCACAATTCCTGGCATATCAATTAAAGATGTCATTATATATTCACTGTATATTGAAAACAAATCAGGTGATAGTACACATCCTTGTCCTACGTCCCTCTTTATGCTTTGAAATGTATCTGAACAGTTTGTTAATTCTTATAGCTGCTGTTTGCTGCCAATACATATTCTTTATTATTCGTAGATCAGATTACTTAACTTGTTTAGGCTATCCTCCGAATAACGGTCGTAAATTATAGAGGCGGAAATTATACCTAACAGGGCCTCAGTCACATGTCAATTGCGCACTTCCGCCATCTTAAAATGCGCGCTTACAGCGACTTCTGCCACCGCTGAATTGCGAACTTTCGGCAACTTTCGCCACCGCCGAGAGTGTCCCTCACGCCGCGTGGATTGGGGTTTAACTAGATAGCTAGAACTCAGGAGCAGCAACTACCGCATCTCCTGCAGCTTCCTTCATTTTATTTGCTCGTGAGTCCTAGCCATCTAGTTTAGCCTTAATCCACGCTGCGTGAGCGGCTTGGGGGACACCCTCGGTGGTGGCGGAAGTTCGCAAGTCGGCGGTGGTGTTATAGTCCACGGAAGTGCGCAATGGACACATGACTGAGGCCCTGTTAGAGTATATTTTCCGCCTCGATAATTTACGACCGTTATTCGGAGGAAAGCCCTTGTTTATATTATTTGAAACCATTGCCTCCGCCACTGAAATTTTAATATCTTCGCTTGCGGCTTAGAATTGACTTTGCAGGCTTCGTAGAGGTATCGTTGGATAAAATATTTCAATCTACATCTAGCTGTGATAGTTTCATAGGTAAAAGTTTTATTAAAACCCTATAAAACCTCACTAGCATCCTTACAACACTAATAGTTAGTAGTTAGTGTAGTAGTACTAGTAGTCGAGTAACTAGTGGCAGTTGAATTGAAGAAAATCGATGCTCAAAGGTAAGCACAGAAAAGTAATGAGAGCTTTATTTTTGTTGCATGAAATTTTAAGAGAAAAAAGGCTCTTTTTTTACTCTCCAAACTTAACAGAAAATACAGCTGAGTTAAACAATGTCAATACGTTTAAATTAAACCTACCACTTTGGTAGCCATTTTGCTTTTTGAAGGTCAAGGTGTAGTAAATACTTTAAAAAAAAAAGTTATACTTTGTAGTTATTCGAATCTAACTTGTATTATAGTATACATACAATTTTGTCTTCAAATTGTAATTCTGTTAATAATAACCGTTTTTTTTTTTCTTTTGGTTAGTGTATATATATAGTATAATTAAAGTTATAAGAATTTGAAACAACTTGGAAATTTGTTTCGTACAAATACAATTTAGTTTTATGAATTAGACAAGTAAAATCAATGGACAGTGACTGTTTTATCAGCACAATTTGTGGGCGTCAACTATTTGTATTGTCAGACAGCTGTGCTGTTGTTATGACATTTAATGATTCATATTCCTAACAAGAAAAATTACGTATAATATATCAGTTTAAAAAAAATTTCATGTTGAAAAAATTATTACATTACGTAAGCCTTTGAAGTTATGCCATATTCTTCTCCTATCATTGTTGTGACGATGGAGACATCAGATCAGACACGAATGAATGAAAATAGAAAATTCCGATATAATATAAATATAATAATCAACATTTAATCAAAGTTTGAATAAAACCTTTAAAAAATAAAAACGTTAATAATTTCAAATTAATTCTACTACAAGCATGTCAGAAGTCACAAAGCTCGTCGCAGCAACAGCTGTAGCTTCTTTCAACAACAGTAAAATACCACACGATAAAACAGCTTCAGCTGAAACTAACACTACTAACAGCAGTGATGATAGTGATAGCAAAAGCGTTACAATCTATGCGACAGCAGCTAAAGATGAAACTTATATATCACAGTCATCAGCACATTATCTATGGCTTCTTACATCGTTTTCCGCACTTGGGGGGTTTCTGTTTGGATATGATACCGGGGTTATTGCCGGGGCAATGCTGTTTATTAAGGACGAGTTCTTATTGTCTTCCCTTTGGCAGGAGATTATTATTAGCATTACTCTTGGTTTTGCCTTCATATCAGCTCTGTTAGGGGGATTTCTTAATGACAAATGTGGTCGCAAGGTGGTTACCTTAATAGCAAGTTTCATGTTCACTGTGGGAGCAATTATTCTTGGTGTTGCTAAAAATGTAGCAATGTTATTGTCTGGCCGATTGATCCTTGGTATTGGAATAGGTTAGTTATTTTTATACAACTTGACTTATTAAGCACTTGCTGACTTACACATTCCAATCACATGGCTGTATTTTCATTTTTTTTTTTAAACTGTCTAACTATGGCTATGCTGTTAAATTCTCAACTCTTAAAGATGACCCTCTTAAAGACGACCAGTATAAAGTAAGTATTTTCAGTGCATTTAAACAATGGAAGGAGAAAGGTTGATGGGTCCTGGCAAAAAGAACAGAAGAGTAATTTTACTAAGAAACATTTGGAGGTATTTGCAAAAATATTGGGATTAACCCTGTCATATCAGGAAAGCTATATCTGAATTAACAATGGGTTGGCAAGACAAGTAATGAAACTGAAACTATTCTTGTCCGCAAATGGATTTTGCAGCCCCACGTTTTTTTAAAAGGGGGGGTGTTGGGGGGGGGGGGGGGAGACTTACTGCCCCCTTAATAAGAATGTTGTAAAAGGTAACTTTAGTATATATCTGCCTGAAGTTGACAAACCAACACTCAGGATATAAATAAATATGTACACAGGAAACTGAAGTTCTGGAACAAAACCATCTTCAGAAGTGAATGAATAGCCAGAATTTCCACCTGAAGTTTGCAGAGAGTGAACACTACGAAGAAGAAAAGGTTCTTGTATCATTACCTTCCCATGGTAGTGAATTGATGTGTGACAAGCTAGATGTTGTGAGGATCCTTTGGAAACGAATAAACAGTGCGGAGGCGCAGATAGATCATTACGGTCTGATGAGAATGATGCAGCAAGAAGTTACCATGGGATATTGCCAGTGCTTGACACTCAAATGGAGAGGGGAGATGGATATACAGTCAGACAGTTATGGGTACTATCGGAATAGGAACTGTTCACTTGCTGCTGAAGAAGAGGGGTGTTTATGGGAGTATCCTCAGTGCTGTAATGTTGATTCTTAATTCAGCTTTCAACAGCCTTCCTTTCTGTGTGGATTCTGGGTGCAGTTGTGGAGGAAAAACAAGAATTGACCCACTGCCTTCCCAACAAGCGTGTCATAGGAGTCAACTAATTGGGAGCTTCCTTCAGAGTCAGAGTGCATCTGCCCAAAAGGAAAAACCCACTGCAGACAGTTAAGCCAGTAAAACGGATTTGCACACAAAACTCAGACTCAGCAAAAAGCTACATGGATGAACGACCAGGACTTTTCACTGGAGCTAACAGCCAGTAAACAATGAAGAAAGATTCCCATCTTCCCAAGTCCATGTTAACATTTTAGTTACTGCACCTAGATGGTGCAGTGAAAAATAAGATAGTAGCAATAGCACATGATTTATTGGTTTTTTAACTCAGTAAAATTACTAGATTTAAAGTATGGTTAAACATTGCTTTTCTATGAGAAATAATTTTTTTTTTTGCATTAGTAAAGATATGGGCTTTTTTTTTTTTTACATAGCAACAATATTTTTTTGTCTGAAATTGCTGAAATTACTTAATTTTACTGAATCCACAGGTTTGGCTTCCATGACAGTCCCTATGTACATTGCAGAGAGTGCACCTGCTAATGTTCGTGGTCGTTTAGTTACTATAAACAATTTTTATAACAGGGGGTCAGTTTGCTGCAAGTTTGATTGATGGGGGCTTTAGCTATGTTAAGCCTAATGGATGGCGGTAAGATTTCATTTATTATTACTATCACTGTTGGTCACATTTTACTTTGATAATTTGTTTTTACTTTTTTAACAGAAGAATGTGTTCAGTTCTTTGGACAGCCAAAATAACTAATTTTATCGTTTTGAGAAAAAACAACTTATCAGAGATATCAGAAAAGGTAGTCTTTTTTTTTTTGGCCACAAGAAATATGTGAAAGATATGAAAAGGGTCCTTTACTTTTTTTGGTTTCTAAGACATAATGCTGACTAGGAGCCAGTTTTATGTGAGTTAAATTCTATAAGGCTACAACTGCTACATATAATATAGATGGAGTAGAGCCTGCCTGGAATGGATCTAAAAGATATGAACCTTATTACACATTTTTAAGAAAGTGTCTTACAATGAATCTTTGGACTTATCAAAGATTCAAACAGCAGAGAATTGAGAGTGGGAATTAAAAATTAAATTTGTAGTCTGTTTAATTACCACTAATTATTGGCATTAGAAGAGCTAATAGACTGCAATGGTTGAGGCATATAGAGAGTGAGGAAATGGCAGATAACAGAGGGGAAAAAACTACATACACAAAAGAGTTGAATGGGCATAGACCACAAAGCAGACCAAGAAGACCCCTGGAGAGATAATATACATGCAGACCTGCAAACACTTGGAATCACCAACGGAAAGAGAAAGTCTGTCACATAGATGAATGGAAGTAGGTGATATCCTACAGCAATGGAACTACAAGGATTTGGAATGCTCATTTGATTCAGCAGAGATCTAAGCTTGTTGAACTCTAATTGCTTAGCATTCTATACTTCTTACAGACAGTGGGCATCTGTTAGTACAGACACTTTTGACTCAGAGCTGTATTCACAGAGTAATATCGATATTAGTTTTAGTATTAGTTTCAAAGGAAATTAAAAATAATACTGAACTTTAAGCGTTTAATTCTGATGTAAAATCAGTACTTTAGTGTGGAGTGGAAATACAGAGAACAACTAAAACAATTACTAATAAACTACAACACATTCAGTAACTGGTGCCTGCTCTGAATAAAGTGAATGAATTGGTATGATAGAATCACTCAACCGGGAAGGCTAACCCGGTCAATAATTGCCTGCAGAAGTCGGATGTATTGGCCGTAAGGTGCAAATATCGCAGCCATGCTGTAAACAGACACAACTCAATTACATCTTTGGATGAACGCAGAAGAAGAAGAAGAATCACTGATGTTGAGCTTAGGGAGAGAACTTAACAAGTCCCAGTGGACCAAGAGGTGAAAAAAAAAAAAGATGCTGGCGTTGGATAGGACACATGTCAAAAAACCTGAGAACAGTATAACTAGAATGTCTTTGGACTGGAACCCACAAGGGTATAGAAATATAGGTAGACCAAAAACACAAGGAGAAGGGAGCTAGAGAGTAAAGTTAAAAAGATGGGGAGGGCAAGGGGTGAGTTGGCATGAGTTGGTTGCGGGTCTATGCTCCACTCGGGGATAGAACGCAGAAGAAGACGATATTGCTTTCTCCAGCACCATTGCCTCTGCTTTGTAACTGGAGGAGTGTTTTCCTCCAGGGAAACTGCACTTTTGCTGAGCCATCCATGACTACCAATATTCAGTTGTTTAGGTGGTTAGATTTTTTTAATGAGAGGTGAAAGAAACTGGAAAATATTGTGACTACTAGAAAGATTGTGGAAAAATAGACAGAGGAAGACAAACTGAGACAATTCTTGACAGCCTTTTGTCATGGCATGGAAGGATGTCGAGACAGGAATTGATACACACTGTTGAAGATTGCAGATTGTGGAGAGGTCTGGTCTGGTAGTCTGTTCGGATAGTCTTAGTTTCAGCTTCTTTAGCAAATGGGTCACCCCATCTTTGCTCCGCTCTTGTGCCAATGAAAAACACACAGAATGTTTATCACAGTCCCTTGTGGAAAGATTTACAGACTGCTGTCACAGCATACACACGCATTAAAGGATACTGTAGCCATCCGAAGTGCTAACACAAACAGTCCGACATTAGAAATGCAGTTCATCATTGATGGTAGCACATGTAGAGAGGTATGATCAGCCACGCCAGTCTACAAGAGACTCATTTATGATAATGATAGGATTTAAATAGTTTCTTTTGCATGCAGTGTTTTTATAATGCAGCATACTTAGATCATTGAGTGAGAATCCTGTCTTTCCTGGATTGCAAGCCTGACTTTGTTTCCATGGCTGCAGTTGATGTTGAGTGTAGGTCACTGGTCATAACTTGGCTAAGGTTTTGTACTTTTGCAATTTTCTGAAAGCAGCTTACAAATTTTCTCCCTCTTCCTGATATACAGTATTCCAGGGCTGGGGAAACATATCAAAGTTCCTGAGTAGTTTGAGGGAGGCAACTCTGTTCCTGCTAGATTGTTATCAGTGGAGTACTTTGTAACTATTTGTATGTGTGAGGGGGGGAGGGGAGGGGAGGGGGGGCATCAACTTATGTCTTCCCTGTTAGCCCTGAGTCAAAAGTGACACTTATAGAAGTGGGTTCATTATCTTTTTTGCAGGATATGTCCTCCTATTTTTATCAAGTGTTGCTTAATGGATAAAGTGAATATGGTGTACATTGTTTTGGAGGGTTTTATTTTCATGGCTCAACAGCTTATGGACCAATTTTCCTAGTCTGTCACTGCTTGTCTGCAGTTTTGTCTGGGCGGTTCCGAGAGATTGATCTGAATGAAGAAGTTTCATATCATCAATTTTAAGGAAGCCTTAAGGGACAGTACTTGCATGATATAGATAAGAAAAGAAGTCAAGAAGAGAATTCCTCCAAATGGAACACCTTGCTTTATTGCTGCAGTTGACGCATATGAGATTATAGTTTATCATATGCTGTCACGGTTCTCTTCTGTGATATTATCTCAACTTTATATAAACTCAACTTTATATAAACTTAACCTTATATAAACTCAGTCTTTTACCAGGTTAACAAAAATTAGTACATACACAAACAATGATTCCATCAAGATGTTTATCACTGGACATCTTTAATGGTGCAACTTTTTCATTTGCTTAACTGTTTTAGTCTTTAACCAGCATGTGATGTGTAATCCCCGCCATTGCAAGATGTTTAAAAAAAACAATATTATTTCTGAACATAATAAAGAAATCTGCCACCCCAGTGGACACCTTCATTGTGTATTTAGAGGTTTGAAAATATTCTTGTGGTTTTCCTTAGTAGGCAGTCCCACTTCTGAGAATATGATATTAAAATTGACCAGTCCAGAAATAGTTAACAAAAAGGTATTGATTCATGGTACTGAGTAGACCTATTACAGCACACTGGCTTATATTTTACTTCTTAAATTCTTAGAGTAAATTTGCCACCAAAGGATAATTTGGCATTTACCCATTTTCTAGAATGTGAAACCTTGTTAATGTAATAACCCAGCATCATTACCTGATGATCCAGTGGTCATCTGCTGGAAGCCATTAGTTGAAGTTGGAATTTCTGCAAATTGAACCAACCTAAAGTGGATACTAGGAAGTTCTAGGGCATAAAGACTGCATTTATGTCATTTATCATCAAGTGCCAGTTAATCTGAAAAAAAAAAGATAGAAGTATCATGTTTCCAGTATGCTTCAAGGTGTGATAAAAAGGGCTCCAATCCTCGCACCCTGTCTGCAAGTATTCCATTCACTACTTTTCATTTCTTTGCAGATACATGCTCGGGCTTGCTGGTGTCCCATCTGCTATTCAGTTCTGTGGGTTTTTCTTTTTACCTGAGAGCCCTCGCTGGTTGATGAAGAAGGGTAGAGAGACAGAAGCCAAAGCTGTTTTGAAAAAATTACGTGGCCACCACCATGTTGACAATGAGTTAACGGAAATAAGAAATGCCATCAGTGCAGAGCTTGGAAACAAAGGTAATGCTGTCTTTATATTTGTACTGTTACAATGTAATAACAATAATATAAACCATCAAATCTATAAATCTGGACAGTGAGCAAGCACTTGGAAAGTCAAATTGATGTGTTGGAATTGGGAATTGTACCAAAGAACAGGTCTTTTTCATGGAAAGAAACAGAATCAGATACAGTGGTTTGCAGAGAGTGAGAATCAAATAAGAGTTGTTTGAAGAAATAAACATGAGACTAGTGAATTATTTCAACCACATTAAAAGACATAACACTTTTATTAAATCATATTTAAGGAAGTATTGAAGTCTTGTGTGCAGTAGGAGACAGTGATACAGGAAGAAGAATAACATCAAGACATGGATGAATTGCAGTCTGAAAGAATGCACAACATGGGTGAGAGAGAGAGAGAAAGAGACAGACACACATGCATGCGCACATGCATTCACATACACGCACATATAAGAATGTTAATGTACATGTTTATTATTCCTTCCAGATGAGAATACATTCATGCGAATACTGCAGACCCCATCAGTGAGGCGGGCAGTTATTCTTGGATGTGGACTTCAACTGTTTCAGCAACTGAGTGGTATAAATACAGTTATGTAAGTTGTTTTTTCTACTATTGAAACAAAATGAATTGAAATTCTCATATTATAATATTTAGATGGGTTCCCTTTGTGTGTGTGGCAGTAGTCCCCAATTGTATCTTGTTTCTTTTAATAAACTTGAAACTTGCTCAAATATACATATAGTGTGTTTAACACACACAAAAAGTATTGTCTCCATATTGACGTTTGGCTACAGTGCTGTCACTGCTAGCTTTGTGAGTATTACTTGGTTAGGTTCCGGTCTCTTCCATACTGTGCTCACTTACTACTATTAAAAAAACCATGGCAGTGCCCATTTTGTTTTACATGTTGTTACTGCTCTAAAAACATCAACTTTGATTCACTGGTGGAAAGTTTGCTTCACATCAAAAGACTTTGCATCTATCAAATTAAGGTTGATGAAGAATCTTTTCTCCTAACCCAGTACCAAAATACAATCCCCACAGAGACTGTGTAATACAGCTCTCCTTTCCTTTTCAGCTTCAGAAAGCAATGGGTGTGTGCAAGACTGATAATGGAGTGCCATTTCCTTAGAGATTCATATTAGGATGTAACTTCTCAGTGTGGGTTTAAGTGCCCCATTATGTGTGTGGGGGGGAGGGGGGGGGGGGACAAAAACACACCCACTGCCTTCCCAACAAGCATCTTATAAGAACTATACTGAGGGGGGAAAGTTGAAGGCAGGATAACAGGAGGTATACAGTCATACAAATGAAATAAGAACATCAATAAATGGATGAATGGTATTCTTTAGAAGAGAGTGTACAATCATGATGAGAGGCATTGCATGTTGGAAATCTTTGCAGCCAACCTTTACTGTGGAGATGGCACCAGATTGACTGATTGATTGATGTCTCGAGAACTTACAAGCTTAGACATAATAAAGCATCACAGTGGTTTGGAAAGAATGGTAATGAAAGACCTGACCTTAGTCTCAGTCGAGGTTTTAACTTCACTTGCAGTTGGGTCACTTCATACTTGCTGTGTTCCTGTGCCAGTGAAAATCAAGTGAAATGTCTCTCACTGTCCCATTTGAAAAACTGGTGAACAAACAATTTGTGCCTGAAAAATCCAGAAATTTGTGCACAGTAAATGCATAGGCAGTTGCTAGAGGAAATAAAGCCAACGGTTGTCACCAGACATGCACTTTGTCATTGATGGAAGTAGTTGTGCATGATAAGTTGGCTATAAACACAGAGAATTATTACAGAATGTTTTTCACCAGCCCACATGTAAACCAGCTACCGGCCATACTGAATACCACGAATCAACCACTGCACAGATGAAAGGCATTCCCTGTGTGAAATACATTCCATGTTTTCCTAGTCTGTAAAATGGGGGATTGCAGGTAACCCTCTAATGTTTTCTTAGTGTTAACACTGCTTCTAGTAGGCTGTGATGAAAGAAGACATTCTACATTCTGATGATAATAAAAAAGTATTTTCCTGATTGCCTGTCTACAGGTATTACAGTGCAACCATAATAAAAATGTCTGGAATTGAGGATAAAAGCACTGCTGTCTGGTTGGCTGCACTTACAGCTGGAATTAACTTTATTTTCACCATAGTTGGTGTGTTGCTGGTTGAAAGAATTGGCAGGAGAAAGCTAATTATTGGTAGTTTAATAGGTAGGATCCATCTAATATGGCTTGTTTGTGTTTATATGTCATTCTTATTGCCTGAACACTTACTACACTAGTGCTTGTGGCTTATAACTCTTTATACTTGTATTTGTCAACAAAAATAAATGCTTAAAGTTTATAATCATTATCATGTACCATTGTGTGTGATGTGTGTGATCATTTTCTTCTATAAGCATTTTAATATGTTTTATGTCAGTTAAAAATATAAAGGTATCACTTTTAATTGTATAATAGATTTAAGACAAGTTTTACAGCCAGAAGAGTGGTTCGTCAAGTGAATAGAAGGCTGGGTTCACATTCCTTAGCCACACAATCCTAAATCCAGATGCCCTTGCCCTACACTATCTTATAAATAGTTAATACAGATAGTGAAGAGAGTTTACAGCCAATTTTTTTTAAGTTAAATTGCAGATTATTTACTTCTGTACAGGTTTATTATGTCAGCATCTGTGGCTTAGGCATTGTGAACACACTTTATAATTCCGGGGTACCTAGTTCAGTTCCAGAAGATCATGTGTAGGCAGCTTGGCAGCAGAAGACCTTGCACTGATTTCGACAATGGTATTGAGAGCGGACTACTCAAAAGCAATGTTAAACTACAGGGTGTGAAATTTCCTGGTAAAACCAAACAGCCAAAAATGCTTGGCTTGGATCTGCAATGTCCAATAAAGGATAGGCAGCTAAGTTTTTTTATGTAGACTTCATATGCATTGATTGCCGGGGAAAAACTAACCCAGTCAACTATTGCCTGCAAAAGTTGGATGTAACTCCCAAAAGGGGCAAATATCGTAGCCATGCTGTAAAGGAGCACTACGCAAATACATATTCAGATGAATGCAGAAGAAGATATGAGTTGAATGTATTTCTGAAAACAGAAAACATGTCCCGTCTGTGTATTCCAAGTGTGCCTGTAGTGTTGGTAACTTTTTATGTCATAACTGTGTGTGTGTGTGTGTTTTTTTTTTCAATGTAATATGTTTACTCTTTTCCTGTATTTTTCAGGTGTTACAGCAAGCTTATTTGTTCTTGGCCTCAGTTTTCAGTTGATGGCTGCCAGTTCTCCAGCTGTCACCTATGTTGATCATGACTATCTTAACACCACATGCTCAGTCTACAGGTTAGAGAAGTGTTTCCCAACCTTTTTTGTGCCATGCCCCATCCAAGTCTTTCTAAGCTTCGTATGCCCCCTATTATGTAACTTAAATTCTTGACGAATCCATTTTCAAATTGCCTCCCACCCCTTAACAATCGTTTTGCCCACGCCCTCCCCCAGTAATCAGATTGCCCCTCCTAAGGGGTGTGAGCCCCATGTTGGGAACCATTGTGTTTTAGGGTGTATCATCAACAGATAGAAGTAACTTTTTACATCTTGTCAGTACTTTCAGGATTCTCACTTTTTTATATAAACTTAAATATATCTTTAGTCCTTTTACCCCTGAATCCCTAGTCTCTGGAAATTCCACATCACTGTGAAGAAATTATAATAACAACCCTATGTACCTATTTTAAAAATTACCCCATCCCCAAGATCCCTGGATAGTTTTGGGCATTTTGAAATTTAAAATTATCAACAGATCCCTGATACCCTATTCAGCCTCCTGAGAAGTTATAATTAGGGTACCCATTACGGCAACATTATTACACAAGGCACCTTGCTGTACTGGATGGGTCAAATTAATTAAGTGTACATACACCTTCAGATGTCAGCTTGAATAATCAGTCAACAATACTGTCAACTGTGTTCCTGCGATTGACAAAACACTCAACACTCAGATTATAGAACATTTTTATGAAATGCAATTGATCCCTGTGTGGGTTCCAGGGTCCTATTGTGGGGGAGAACAAGAATAGACTCACTGCCTCCCCAACAAGCTTGTCGTAGGAGTTGACTAAATGGGTGCTTCCTTCAAAGTCAGAGTGCATCTCTCTGAGAGGCAAGAAATCAACAGTCTGCATACAGATAAGCAAGATCTGTAAAACAGATGCACATGCAAAACTGGGGTCCTGAAATAAAGTCACAGTCAGGAAAAGGACGAACAACCAAGTCTTTCCACAGGGGTAAACAGCCGGTGAACGCAAACAAAATAACAAATGACTAGAACTCTTTCACACACGAGTGGTTATGATTTTTAATGAATATAATTATATGTGGTCCATATAAACACCAGCCATTTAGAAACAGTACCATTACTGTTAAATGGTCTAGAAGTGGCAATTTTATGTCTGTGTTAGATCAAAGTTATAAAGAAAATCTGAGCTTTGGAATTGAAACGCTACATAAAGATTCTTAGAATTAGGTGAACCAGGAAGAAGAAAAACATAAACATTTTGCATAACTTGAACATCAGTTAGAACTGGCTCATAAACAGCATCCTCTCCTGAAAGCTGAGATATTTTGGACATGTCAAGCGACATGGTTGTCTGGAGAGAGATGTGATGGAAGATGCAGTTTCTGGAAAATGAGGCAGAGGCCGATGTCCATGAAGATGGATACAAGACATTGAATGTATATTGACTATGAAAGCACACAGGGCTGGAAAATTGTCTAATGAAAGAGACTTTCAGGCATGCCATGATGGGAGCGATGTTCTATAAGGGGCATGCTGATTAATTGTTTCATAAAAGAATGAAAAACATTGATCCCTGCTCATATTTGTTTTTATGTTTTGAGAAATTAATCTTTTTTATTAATTTCTAACAGAAACTGTGAAGAGTGTACAGAGAACACTCAGTGTGGATTCTGTTACACAGAAAATAATGGTTCACTTGATGGAGCATGCTTGACTGTAGATCATAGGGACAATACTCATGCTGCCTATGGAAAATGCCAGGATATGTCGTTGTCTTCAGACAACAGGTGGTCATATGATTACTGTCCTAGTTCATATTCCTGGATGGCACTTTTGGGACTTGTTTTGTATTTGATATTTTTTGCACCTGGTGAGTGGTTTTTAAGTTAGCAATCACTTTTATGTTCAGCATTTCAATAATACTTTAGGTATCTCAAGTAGTGTACTGGCTAGACACTCAGCTGTCACTCTGAAGGTCTCGGGTTCAAACTCCACATTGTCTTATTTTAATTTCTCTAAAAATTGTCTTTAGCTCCCATGTCAACCCAGCATTAAATGGATACCAGGTAATATCCAGGGAAGTTAAGGTGGGCAGTGTGATGTTGACCACACTATGTGCCATCTGGTGAATAGAAAAATGAATCTAGCGTTATATACTTAATGCACCGCCTTGATAGCGACAAGTCAGTAAGAACTACATGAATTGATAGATGCGATGGTGGTAAAATGGCCCTCAGTTTGAATAATGGGAAGACAAAAGTAATGGTGATTTTCAAGAAAATATTTTGCTTACATGTATTTTAAAAGTCAAAGACGTTGTTTTTAGACATGTACAGAAATTTTAATATCTAGGCACCTGGATAACATACGATGCAAGATGTATCACAGAGGTAAAGAACAAAACAGGAGAGACTGTAGAGGTTTCATTTATAAAATGGAGAACATTTTGTGCCATATATGACTGTTATGACTGTAAGTGGTAAGGGGGGAAAAACACGCTCGCATGTCACACAGGGCCCCTTTTAATATACGGCTGTGAATCCGGGACAGTTAATAAACAAGCCAAACAATATCTTGAGGTCTCAAAGATGTGGTTTGACAAAAGAATCCTTAGAATTCCTTTGACAGCTTAACTCTTTGAGTCCCAAGAAATGCATCATATGTTCACAGGTTCCTACCTAGAAGCCCAATGAACGCATGATGTGCCAATTTATTACTTTCTTTACTATCCCCTGGGCCTGTGATGCTAAACCTCCTGGGACTCAAAGAGTTAAAAGATCAACCCAGATGTTTCGAAAGAATCATGCACTCGAAGATAAATTAGGCCTTTCACAGACATCAGAAAGAGACAGTCATCATTTTTTGGCCATGTTATGAAAAGAGGGGAAACTAGATCATGTTGTGACAACCGCAAAGGTCTGTGTGATTGATGCAGAAGAAGAAATTGTGAGAAGATTCTTGACAGTTAGTAGTAGTTAGTCTACGCTCTGAATGAGTAGACCCGTTCGGAAGTCGCAGTTAACTTCCATCACCTGGATTTACATACCTGGAGTAAATAGTAATGAAAGAGCTGACGAGCTGGCAAGTAACGCACCGATGTAAACAGGAAGAAAGCACAGGCAAAGCTGAAATAATCAACGCTGTACGGACTAGGTTTGGAGATACATTTTTTTTTTTAAATGAACATTTATTAGGTCAAAACAGTGTTTACAGTATTTCATATACATTTACAAAAGCAAATATAATGAGGTAAAAATGATGATGACTGTGGAAGGGAGTAGAAAGGGAGAGGCAGAAAAGGACAGGGGGCAAGGAAAGTAGGGAGCCATTCATAGTTTAGCTGGCGGTGTCGGTATCCTGACAATTTCAGCTAATGATGATGATGGTAGGTGGCATCATATTTTTTATTTACACAATAGATTTTGAAAGAAAACAGTGCATATATGTAAAGTCAATACACATGATTTGTTTGTTTGAGTTTGTGACATATGCCGAAATACGCGCAAAGATTACAAAATCATATTAAGAAAGGTGATGATGATGAAAGCTGGGTTTTCTTTGAATCTTTATTGAAGAATTGGGCAATAATTATTTTGAAATTATTATTTAAATTTTTTTATGATGATGAGAATGATGCCAGCAATTGTATTTTAACAAGTTTTCCCTCACTCATCCTCTCTCTCTCTCTCTCAAGCATATACATGTTTGCTCACTTTCTGTCTCACCAAATGCTCCATTCACACATGTTGTGGCGAGGGCGATATACCACTGGGTGCAATGACAATAATCACAGGGGGGGGGGAAACACTCATACACACTAACAATGAATTTAAATGTTTCAAATTTTTTAGAAAGGCAAAATGTGTGGTAGAGTGACGAAAACACGACAGCATTACTGTTCAATTTAACTTTGTGAACCGTCTATGTCGTCTTTCATGTAAAGACAGGAGATACTACATGGTCTGACAATTAATTAATGAGACTAATTCCATACAAAAATTTAAATAGTCAACAGTTGAAGATATAACCTGTATTTTATTTTATTCGAAATAAGCCCCTTTTGCATTGTGCATACAGTTATTAGCACAATCTAACAAACACTGGAACGATCTCTGTAGTTCTGCTGTTGCTTTGGCTCTTTTAGTCATTGTTATCACCCTTTGGATGTCATCAGTATCGTCAAAGAAGCGTCCTTTCAATGGTTAATTTTAGGAATAGAAAATGATTACCGAGAGACAAGTCTAGGGGAAAGGCTGGATGGTTGAGAAAACACACTTGTTTTGGGTTCAAAAATTCCTGTTTTGATGATGTCTCGTGGATACTCAACCCGCTGATGTTTTTGGTCTTCAGACAACGAATGCGGTACAAACCTGCGGGCAAAAATCTTGCACTACAATTTTACAGGGGCATAGGAATAAAGGAAGGCCAAAAATCACATGGAGAAGAGAGCTGGAGAACGAGGTTAGAAAGATTGGAAGGACATGGGGAGAGTTTCATGCAATGGCGAAGGATAGAACGACTTTGCGTGAGTTGGTTGAGGGCCTATGCTCCATTGGGGGATAGAAAGGCAGAAGAAGAAGAATGCACATAAATTCACTTTGGAGTGCAAAAATGCAAAGCATTAAAGGGAAGCAATTCAGTATTATTTAACAAAGAGAATATTAGAAACCTCTGCTTCTGTGTTCTGACATCGGAAACACAAGATATAAATTCGAAATTATCAAATTCTTATTAACGTAATTATTAGTAATAAAATTTGTATGATCTATGCAAGGACTTGAAGCAGAAAAAGCGTGAAGTCGATACAACAACACTTTTAAAATCTTGCATTAATTGTTGCCCTGGGCAAAATTTTCACAACAGAAAATCATTAGAAGGGGCACCAGGCCTTCCAATCCAGTTCCCCGTCAACACCCAAATTCAAAGGAGCATGGCAACGCAGGAAGAAAAAAAGGAGCCTTCAAGGATTGCCTGTTTCCATAGGCAGTCTTTCAAACTGGATCAAGTCCTTTCCCGTCCAGTAAATTATGACTACAAGAGAAAAGGATATACCCAATGATTGATGCTGCTGCTGCTTCTATTCAGTAGTTTAATGGCCAAAAAAATGTAACTCGTTTAATGATTTTTTTTTTTTTTTTTAAATAAACGAAAATAAACTGGGAAAAAAAATCATCCCAGGATGAGGCCCTTCCATTTCACTTCGGTTGGGTTGACGCCTGCGATCACCCCAAATGTGGGTGACTCGAGTGCGTAATTTTTTCGTAAGGAGGACTGCGTTCACGCTATCCCCTCAATTAGAAAATTGTTAGTTTCAGATTCGACTTTTAACATTAAAAGGTGTGTTCGGCATGAATGTGTACCATCTACACGTCACCAAGTTAGTTTTCCGGTTCCGATTTGAAAAAAGGGTCCTTTGCTTACTCACTTTTTAAAGACCGTTATCTGTGAAGATCATTGTTAATTTTGGTAGTTGACAGAATCTACATTAAAAAAATAATATAGTCGAATGAGAACACACAAATGGGGTTATGGATTTAAACGAGATTTTCCTAACATAACAGTACTGTTTGCCACCCATCCTGTGGTACAGCTCTAGTTGTGTGCGCCCCTCCATTATAGTACTGCTGGTTAGGCTCATACATGAAACTGGGTAGTTAAGATATTTGTCTGTAAAGATCATTGTTAACTGAGGTAGTTGATATTGAAAAATAATATAGTTGAATGAGAATACACATATGGGATTATGGAATCAAACAAAATTTTCCTAATATGAACAGCACTAGTTGACACCCATCCTGTGGTACAGCTCTAGTTGAGTGCGCCCCTCCATGTTAGTACTGCTAGTTGGTTCATACATGAAATTGGGTAGTTAAGATAGTTAGTTGTCTGTGGAGAATACTGTTGAGTATTTGAATGAGAAGTTAATATTTATGTTTAGATGAATATATGTATCTCTATGGCTTAGAGATTCATGAGTGTGTTTCACACCTTTCAAGTGCTCAGTTTTTTTTGTTTTGTTTTTATCTATGACATGTGGTTTAGAATAAAGTCGTTCTTGTGGCTTTGAGACAGTGCTACTAAAATCACTCTGAGGAAGAGAATTAGACCACACAGTGTAATATTCCTAACGACAGGACTTAGTGATCATAACCTGCAAGTTGGAAATCAAAATGAGAAGCCTAACAGCGCTGCCCCGGCAAAATTTTGAGTTAAAATTCTAACCAAAGTATTTCATGATCCTTGTCACTGCTATGGAGTTCGTGCACTCCGCTTAGCCTCTTCGGACTCAGGCTCAAGTTAGAAGTAGAATGGAGCACTTATGGGTTACTACCCTTGTGCCATGATGTTGATCCGTTGTATTAACTAAACTAAAGTAAAACCTGCAACCGGCATTCTTTGTGGAAATAGAACATTTACAAAATAAATTTAAAACATGAAAAAAAAAAGATGTGCCAAACACCCTCAATTAGTTGCTTTCTATGACATGCTTGTTAGAAGGGAAATAGATCTATTCGTTGCCCAACAGAATGGAGCCCAGGAACCCACAAGAGCAACCTTTTATGATTTACACTAAACCACTCTAGCACAGCGGCGTCCGTGGCTAAGGCGTTGCGAGTCCGACTCGTAATCCAACGTACCGCGATCGAAAACCCACTGCGGGCTGCGTGGATTTTTATCGTGGTATGGGACGTCGCAGGTCGACCCAGCCTCAAATGGGTACCAGGATGGGCTGCCCTGGGAAAGTAAAGACAGCCGGCGTAATGCTGACCACATTACCCACAGAGTGCTGATGGTCTGTAAAAATATGGGCGCTCTTCCCATATGCCCGATACGCCTTAAAGGCGTGGAAAGGGATCTTTACTTTCTTACTTACTCTAGCACAAGAATGATGACAACAGTAACAAAAACAGTTCTTCTTTAGTTTTTAAACGTGTTGCTTCGGCAGCTCTTTAACAATTGGAATTTGACCCCATGAATATAGGTTACTAATAAATGTGTTAACAGTTTTGTTTTTTTTTCTAATAAAAAAAAAATTTCCCAATATTTATATAAGGAGATACAAATGTTGAATTAAGAATCGGCATCACAGCACTCGGGACACTCCCATAGTTGCTCAGTTCCCATCTTCAGCAGCAAGAGAAGAGTTCCAATTCCGATGGTACCAGTAACCATCTGATTGTATATCTGTCTCATCCTTCCCCTGAGTGTTGAGCGTCAGCCAGATCCCCTTGTAACTCCTTGCAGCGCCATTCTCCTTAGACCATAATGATCTGTCTGTGCCTCAGCGCTGTTCACTCGTTCCCAAAGGGCCCTCACAATATCTAACTTGTCATACATCAATTCACCACCAAGTGGTGCAGAGCCAGCCAGTCTGTCTGCTTGCTCATTTCCCAGCACACCGGCATAACCTGGAGAAAATATTCAAAGGTTTGCTAACTACCCAGGACCTCAGAAATAATGCTTGAAGCATTCCTGTTTTCACCTTTCTTAACATTCTCTGTAAGTCAGTGTGAGATACGAATGGAGTTATCAGTAAACATGAACAAAATAAATCATTAAATGGAATTCTTTCTTTGTGAACATTTCATGGTGAGACCTTAAACTTCTCTTCCCCAGTGTGACTTTAGTATTACAGTCCTATGTTTATTTTTCAGAAGGACTTGATATGATCTTCTCATATATCTGTTTTTTTTTTAAATTTTTTTTTTAGGAATGGGACCTATGCCCTGGACAATCAATTCTGAGATATATCCTATCTGGGCAAGATCAACAGGAAACTCTCTATCTGCTGCAACCAACTGGATCTCCAATTTGATTGTGTCCATGACTTTCCTTACACTCACTGAGACTATAACTAAACATGGTAAGTGAACACTGGATCACATTTTTATTGTGGAGGTAATGCATTAATCCTATTGCCCCAAGGAGCCGCACAACTGACACTTTCAGTTTCGTCTGATATCCTACAAATGTAGTGACATGTTTACATAAGTAAAACTAAAAGACCATTTTCTGCGCCTTTCCGGCGTATTGGGTATATAGGGCTAGACCTATATTTTATAGACCAAACAACACTTGGTGGATGATGTGGTCAGCACCACGCCAGCCACCTTTACTTCCCAGGAATATACCTGGTACCCACTCATGGATCAACCTGGTAGCCAAGGTCATTTTTGAAAGAAATCCTGCCCTCATCAGGAACCGAATCCACGACCTTCCGATCCGCAGGGGAGCTTTTAGCCACAAGATCATGGCGGCTTTAGATATGTTTACACGACGCATAGTTAATGCTGTTGGCCGAATTTGTGCAAAAGTTTAGGAGGTTAGCATTTAAGGGATTTTCCTCTGAATTAAGTAGTTTTTTAAAGTTTACCTCAAATTTTCCCAAAAGCCTCAGTAATAGAGGTCACAGAGTCATGAAATGAGTCACCCGATACATATTTTTTTTTGTAGGCCACTGATGTGTATCCCATTGAATGCTTCACTCTGTTCATGTTTTTTGAAAATTTTGGTTGTATATCTTTTTATATTTTGAGGGAAACATTTACAAATAAGTTAAATGCATTAAAAAAAATATTATTGATCTGTCTAATATATTTTCTTTAAGGATTTAATTTTGCCAGTTCGCACTGGGTCATGACCAATTTTTTTTTTAATTTTTATTGTTACCAGGGCAACAGGGTTTAAAACAAAATTGTTTTTCTTAACATTTTTTGTCATGCTCATGTTACAAAGATATTTAGTGTTAACCATAAAAGGTCGACCGTATAGGTTCCAGGGCTCCATTTTGGAGGGCAGACTATGAACCTAGAGCTGTCATAGGAGACGACTAGTTAGGGGTGTTTTCTTCAAAGTCAGAGTGCTTCTGCCTGAGGCACAAGAAATCAACAGTCTACATATAAATAAACCATATCTGCCAAATAGACATGCATGCAAAACTCAAGTTCCAGATCAAGACCAAAGTCCTGGAGTTGGGGAACAACCAGAACTTTCTGTAGGAGTTTACAGCCAGGAAACGCTTAGAAGAAGAAGGTGTTTTGATTTTCAGTGAGTGGGCATGTTTGATATTGGATTAAGGGACTTTTCTGTGGTGATGTGGTTAAGCCATTTGCATTGAGCACTAAAGATAAAGGGTTCACTTAGTGAGTGCGGGTGTTCTGGAAATTATAAGAAGTCAATGATGCAGCTATGGAGATTTTCATACAGGGTGACACTCTCAGTTAATAAACACCAATCTGCAATGAGAGACTGAGACATAAAAGATTTAGAAAAGAAAATAAAGAAGAACCAAGTGGCATTTTGTTATTTTGTTTGTTTGGCTAATGAAAGTATTTTTTGGGCATGCATATAATGTATCTTTGTCATCATGTATAAGATTGCCAGTGCAATAAAGCAGATTCTGTTATTTGTACATTTTTTTGTGCACGTTTTTTTGTGCAACCCCATTTTGTTTGAACTTTGCTAATCTTGAAATTTCTCTGGTTCCCTCGATAAGTCACTACATCTGCCCGTGAGCTAGCTTGTCTCTCAAACTTACTTAGATTTTTGTTTGTTTATTTATGTATTTAAAACTCAGGTCCATTGTTATGTAATAAAAGCTAATGAAAGTATTTTCCAAGCGGACGATTAAACTGGGACCTTCCGCCGGCCAAAATTCACAGCCGTTGTTTTGTGAAGTTTTTTCTGATTTTGTTGAAGAAGAAGACATTTCTCTGGAATTCTCTTCTCATGTAGCAGGTCCTTTGCAAACATTAATCTGATCACAGTCTGCCTGAAAGAAACTCCGTCTCTCATCATCAGTCCCACCTCATGCACTTTCCTACCCAGGATGCCACTTATTTTCTGTGCCCATCTTTATGCTGGTCGACCCCTGCCTCTCTTTTCCCGGTACCATGCCATATGGTATTATTTTTTTCCCCAACCCACTATGGCGGTGGATATAGCCAACATATTTCAGTTTCCAAGACAAAATGCTGTTCACTAGCAATCTTCCATGATTTTTCAGACTTTCATGATGTCAATATTTCTTTTTTTCTTAGTCCATGGCATTCTAAGAATCTTTCTTTAGCGTTTCAGCTAAAAAGTCCTGATTTAAAAAAAATGTAATTACCTGAATAATAAAGCTTACAGACTGTTTTACACCTTTACATTGAGAAAAATATTGCTTTTTCTACAACAGGAACTTACTGGATGTTTGGAGGATTTGCAGTTCTGGGATTAATTTTCATTGCAGTTTGCCTACCAGAAACTAAAGGTCATAAATTAGAAGAGATGGAGCATTTGTTTTCTCAGCCATTGTGTCACATCTGTCCATTTAATGCTAAATATACAAAATATACCTCTTTGGAGTCTGAGACGTTGCCTTAGTTAGGCATAAGTGGAGTACATTTTTGAAAAGATGAAGCTATTCAGAATATTGTTTTCCATCTGTGAATTTGAGCAACCAGGCCACAAACAGTATATTGCACAATTATTTGGCTATATATTTCGTTGTATCCCGTTAGATTAACTGAACAGGTGCCTATTCACATTTGCAGAAGCAGGCAGAATTAAGATGGGCAGTCTTTAATTATGTGAACAAAAGAATCATTCAATTAATTAGGGTGAGACGCTCTGTATAAGAAGAGACCAAATAATTTGTATAATTGATTAAAAGGATTCATTTTAGTGCAGTATATACCAGGCAATAAAGTGTGTAGTTTTTTGTTGTGTCTCATTGTTTACCTTAAAACTAAGAAAGGACCTCTTTCCACGCCTTTAGGCGTATAGGGCATATAGGGCTAGACCTATATTTTTATAGACCAATCAGCAAAAGATGGGTGATGTGTTCAGCATCACAACAGCCGCCTTTACTTCCCGGACTGCACCCGATACCCACTCAAGGCTGGGTGGACCTGGGAGCCAAGGTCATTTTTGAAAAAAGTCCGTCTCCACCAGGGAGCGAACCCGCGACCTTCTGATTGGCGGCAAGCATCTAGCCGCTCAGCCATGGCGACTCCCTTACCTTAAAACAATGTTGATTTAAATATATTTCTGATCAGTAAAACTGATGATACAAATATTTTATATTTCTGATAAGAAAAACAATGTTAATATAAGTATAAGATAATTAAGAACAGTGTTAATTTAAATATATTTCTGACCAGTAAAACTGATGATATAAATATATTATCTGTCTGATAACAAAAATGAGTGTTAATGTAGATATAAGATAATTAAAATCAGTCTTGGTTTAAATATATTTCTGACCACTAAAGCTGATGATACAAATATATTATATTTCTGATAAGAGAAACGTTATTTACATAAAATGTTTGTTAACACATAAATATAAGATAATTGAAAACCGAGTTGAAATAAAAATATTTTCTGATCTAATAGTCTGTGTCATGTCGTATAGATGGTCGTGATTATTCACAACCTTCTGTCTCAAGTTCTAACACAGATTGTCTTCCATGACAAGATGTCAGACTGTCCAGCATCTTATCCCTCAGTCTCTCTCTGCCTCTTTTCCCCTTCAAATTTCCTGCTTTCACAATGTACTCCAGTTTTCTCCTTCTCATGATATGACCAAAGAATGTAGTTTACCTAGTTCTTATGTCGGCGGTCTGTTCATTCATAAATCAGTTTCTTTCAAGACATCTTTATTACTCCTTTCATCAGTCCACATAATTCTCATCATTTATCATTAAAACCACATCTCTTTAGCTTCCAGATAATTTTTCACTGCCCATGATTTACTTCCATATATCAAGATAGGATTTATTATAGCTTTTGGTTAATATATTTCTGATAAGAGGTAACATATTAAAAGAAATGTAGTTTGATACTGTTGATTTGAAATACCAGATGCATATTAATTTGAATTACTGACTTCAAATACTACCTTCTTGATCTTTTATAGTGTTTAGGTAAAATCAGTTAAAGTTATGGATTACTTGTATCTTTATATTAAAATATTAAACTCTATAATTCATGCTCCTATAATTATTTGCAGTTAGTGATATATTAATCAGTTTCTGAAATAAGTAAGTGTACACATTTATTGCATCATTAATATTATTAATGTATAGTTATATCTACTGTGTAGATATAGTTAATGATCTTTTAAAAATGTGTCTTTCAATTGTATTTACTTGTTACTATAAAGACAAGCCTTCCTATTATACTTGTCACATTGTAATTCACCTTCTGTAAAATATATGTTTCACACAAATAGTCTTCCAATTCTGGGGCTTTTGAAAAGTCATTTAACTGTCTGTTTGATAAATCAATACCTTCTTCCCCCTTAGTGTTTACCTGCTGTAAATTCCGGCTTTTAAGTTCCAGTTATTCATCTACTTCTGGACTTTGGTCTTGTTCCAGAACTTGAGTTTTGCATGAACATCCATTTGACAGATCTATGATTTTTTATATACAGACTGTTAGTTCCTCACCCGCTCTATGACTTTAAAGAAAACACCTTGGGTGATTCTCTTGCCCCCATAACCCACATGGGGTGACTAATCACTATCTTGTTCGAATAATATGCACTTTACCACTATTCTGTGCCCTCTGCACACAAGAAGTTGGATGCAGTACATCTACTGTAGCTTTTGAGAATATTGCATTAAAGAGACTACAGTTTTTTCCTATGACTGTCATATCATTGACTGAAAGTTATGAAAACAGTAGTCATTTTTCTAAACTGCCCACAACAAAAATATAATCTTAGTATGTCAAGGACTGAATTGTGAAATGATTTCACTATTAAATATTCCTTTTGTTTGATACTGACAAAAGTAAGATATAGAAACCTTTTCCACGCCTTGAGGCTTATGGGATTGTAGTAGTAGACCCTTTTGTGTATATACTCATTACTCAGTGAATGATGTGATCAGCATCACACCGGCCACATTTACTTCCCAGGACTTTACCTGCTACTGACTAAAGGCTGGGTTGACTTGACCTGGGGATCAGTGTCATTTTTAAAATAAATTCAGCTCCTTTTGAATTTAGACCCACGGCCTTCACAGCCACATGTGGGAGTCTAGATGCTGCAGTACAGTGGCTCCCGATATTGACAAAGAGCAGATATACATAATATAATCCATTACAGAGATCTTCTTGCTTCTTCAGATACCTGGTCTGAGGCAGGCATTGGTAATCATGACTCTTCAATACTTTGTCCTGCGATATTATAATAAGGCCGATGCCATTCATATTATTGTGTATTGCCCAGTTGTTGATACTGTTTATATTACTGATTGTGTGTTACCCAGTTGTTTAACCTTTTCACATAAATTTTTCTTTCTCTTTCTCATTTTAAAGGAAGGCTACATATATTTTGAATTTTGTCTTTTTTCTTTGAGGGAGCTGCTGTGGTCTGGTCTAGTGGCTAGACGCTTGTCTGCGGATCGGAAGGTTGTGTTTTGGTTGCTGACGGGGGGGGGGGGGGGGGGGGGGGGGAGTCAAAATGACCATGGCTCCCAGGTTGGTCCAGCTATGAGTGGGTACCAGGTACAATTCTGGGGAGTAAAGGCCGCCGGCGTGATGCTGACCACATCACCCACCAAGTGCTATTTGGTCTATAAAATATAGGTCTAGCCCTATGTACCCAATACGCCTCAATGGCATGGAAAAGGGTCCTTTACTTTTGACTTTTCCTTGGGTTTTAATGAAAGGTCTTGAAACACAAGCAGTTCTAAATACTTCTACGCTTGTGTTATTTCTCTCTGTCCACAATATTGTCACATGTTCTTATTCATCTCTGCTGCCTCCAGTTTCTTCACTATTTCATTATTCATTAGCCAGCATTTGCATTCCTGCAGTAAAAATAAGCCACACACAGATTTTTCCCTAAGCAGATTTGTGATATTTGTTGAAATATTTCAGTGATTTTAGAATTTGCTTATTCTTGTGATTGGATTTTTGGATACTAAATTTATTGTGTTTAAATCATTGGAATATGCGCGTCACTGTAAACTAGCATACCATGAATGGTTCTGACAATCAGTGATAGTGCCTTTTATCACTGGAAAAAATGTGGTGTGGATTTTGAATCATTTACATAATTGTTGCTCAGTTGTACCAGTCAGGTAGTGTTTTTTTGTTTATTTACCCTTATGTAATTATTGTTTATTTATGAGTAAGTTTGTTGTTGATCCACTTCTGGTCTTAGGTCTCATTCCAGAACTTGAGTATTTGATATATGATATATATTTTTATACTAGATTTTAAATTTTGCTGGTTACCTATGATATTTTATAATTTTACCCACAGGCTAAATGATATGCTCTACTTCATCTTCTTTTTCTTTTTTCTTCTTCTTCTTCCTCTGATCTTTATTCCCAATAGTAGCAGGATTGTTTCTTATTAATATAATACTGGGGTTGACCCAGACTTACAAAACGTGTAACTGATTAAATTAAGACATTTCCAGCCATTTCTTTGTAGGAATGACAAGAGTCTGAATGTGTGCTTGCATGTAAATGCATCTACAGGGTGTTTCTAAAGTCTCACTCCACTTTGTATGTAAACAAATTTAAAAAAAAAAAAAAAAACAGAGCTAATAATGTCATTAAAAAGTCCTAAAAAAAAAAAAGTAGTTAAATTAGTTACAGTAAACATTGCTATGGTCTAATGCTGTTTTGGGAAAGCTGGAAAGTATCAATGAAATATTCATTATAACAAATTTCTAACTGTAATGTGATAAAGAGGTTGTTTATCAGGAAAACTTTCTATAAATCTTTGAAAAATCACCCTTGTATATTGACCACTATATTGACAGACTTGTTCAACCCCCAAAAAAAATTATTTCTTCTGTTGAAAACACCTTTTTTATTTAAATCACAGAATTACTCAAGTAGACAACATCCATGCGCTAGTAAAACTGATGTTACAAATATATTATATTTCTGATAAGAGAAACTTTATGTATGTTAAATTTATGTTAACACATAAATATAAGATAATTGAAAACAGTGTTGCTTCAAAATTGCCTGTGAGCAAATTTTTTCAAATTAAGTCATGTATTTCGTTTCACAGATTTGTTCTAGTACAAAGTATAGTGAGACTTTACAAACACCCTGTATGTATTATGTAGATAAATGACTCATTTTTATAATGGGGCGATTTGAATACACAGTGCTGGCTCCATATTTTAAAATATATTGTATAAAAATTGTGTGTGTATATGTATGTACTTGTATAAACGCTCAGAGATGTAATCAGATCTTGAATATGTAGCTATATGTCTACTTATTTTATTGTTTTATTTGGATTATAGTTGCCATAATTTATTGTGATTCCACACATACCACATAATATATTCAGAATTATTGTACTTGCTGTTTACTACTTACTGTCTCAGCTGTTCTCACTGTTAT